AGGGGACATCTTATCAGGGTAATTATATTGCTGGGTCTCCTGAGTCCTATTCATGTGATGAACAACATTAATAAACTTTTATATTGATTCCCCCTTTTATAAACTAATTGTCTCCCCTCCAGTGGGAACAAATGAGCTCACATTAACAGAAATAGCTCAGGTTTCACAGGCACATGGTCCCACCTGTATAATACAGAACAGATGTCACAGGCTGAATGCCAGTGGGTCGTATCTAGTTAGCTTAGAAGGAAGGGGTTTAAAATACTGTTTTGAATTAGTCGCCAGCATTTAAAGATTAGGGAATTTCAGATAAGAATTCCAATTTCCTTTTTGTCTTTAAATCTCTTAAGATCTGGCCCTTCTGGTTCCTGCATTTCCACATGGCCACAGCAGGCTGAGGCTGGGCCCCAGGGGCCCTCTTTAGCAGTCTCTTCATTTACCTCACTAGCATTCTCTCTGCACCCCCATTGTCTCCATATCCAATTGTTTCCCAGCCATCAGGGTCAAGGGTCAGTTACCAGTTTTTGTATTTGTGCAATTGCCTTTCTTATTATGGAATTAGGTGAAAGTGAAGTATTTCTTGTAATGATGTCTCTAGAAAATGTAGAGGAAATAAAAGAGGCCAAGAGGGCTGTGCATCAAGGGAAATGGGGCAGCACACTTTTCAGAGGATGTGAGGAATATTCCTAGAGGGTTAATACACAGTGGGTGTCTGTTGAAAGAATTAGATGTAAAATGCCACCAGAAAATAAAACGTAACAAGAAGAATATGTAAAAGCTGCATTAATGTGGGAACACACACATATACGAGTGACACACACACACACACACACACACACACAGAGAGAGAGAGAGAGAGAGAGAGAGAGAGAGAGAGATGTTTCCATGAGGTTCATTTGGGAAGGCTTTAAAGAATAAACCAGGCTGTTATGAAATGTCATGATGTGTTAAGGAAACCCCATCTCCTGAGTCTGTCCCTGAGTTTGACCTGCCTAGCTTGTAGAGATATTTATATTTCTGATCTATGCTCAGGTCTTCTTGGTTATTTCTGAGGAGTTTCCCAGCAGTGACTGTGCCGGGGTCAGTCTCTCTGGGTAGACCTGGGTACAAAACATCGAAATTTCAAAGCTACACTTTCCTCTCATCTCTAAGGTCCCTTGCTCTGTGGTGCTCCCCCACCCCACTCCCGCTCTCAAGTGATCCTGAGGGAAACATCTTTTTTCCTCCCCCTGAAATTCTTTCTCCATCAGGTTCAGATATCAACCTGCGAAGCTGACCTGGGATGAGGGTCACAGCCTTATAGAAAACAACACCGAGGGCTTGATTTGGGAGGGAGCTGCAGTTTGGCCCTGCTCTCAGTTTCTCGACGTCCAATCTGAATTTTAGAATGCAAACACACTGGTTGGACCCTGAGCAGACTCTCCTCATCTCATACCCCGGGGCTTCCCATAAGCTCTTCCTTGCGAGACCTTGCCTCAGCCAGATGAAGGTACACAGTAGTGGTTCCTGTGCTCCTGACCCACTTGGTCTTGCTGTTTGTTTGTTTTGTTTTGACACAGGCTCTCACTGTGTAGCCCTAGCTAGACTAGAGTTCCCAGAGACATGCCTGCCTCTGCATCCTGAGTGCTGGGGTGAAAGGTGTGTGCCACCTAATACTCTTGAGACATCAGACATGCTCTAATCCTCCTAGGCTCATCCAGGATGTCAGCATTCCTTAAACCTTACTTAATTTTTTTTTTAGATTTACATATCTTATATATGATATATATATATATCATATATATATATATCATGAGTGTTTGACTGCATGTATATATACATACCTTGTATATATGGCCTGACGCCTGTGGAGGACAGAAGCCGGTGTTGGATTCCCTGGAACTGGAGTTACAGATGGCTGTGAGCCACTACGTGGGGGCTGAGAACCGAACATGGGTCCTCTGCAAGAGCAACAAGTGCTCTTAACTGCTGAGCCATCTCTCTAGCCCCGATAGGCACTGCTTTGTCACAGCACATTACTGCTTTTTTTTTCTTTTTTATTGAAACAAGGTGTCATGTAGCCCAGGCTGGCCTCAAATTTGCTGTGTCCAGGAGGATGACTTTGAACTTCTGACCCTCCTGTGTCTTCCTCTCAAGTGCTAGGATCACAGATGTGCACTTGGTTTGTGTGGTGCTAGGGATCAAACCCAGGGCTTTGTGCATGCCGGGTAAGCACTTTACCAACGAAATTATATCCCCTGCCCCACACTGTTATTTTTTGTTGTTGTTGTTTTGAGACAGGGTTTCTCTGTGTAGTTTTGGAGCCTTGTCCTGGATCTCGCTCTGTAGATCAGGCTGGCCTTGAACTCACAGAGATCCACCTGGCTCTGCCTCCCGAGTGTTGGGATTAAAGGAGGGCACCACCACTGCCCGGCTCCACATTGTTATTTTTAAGTTGAGGCTGGATACAACTTACACTTGTTTTATTATTTGAGATTTTGTAACTTTATCATAGAGAATTCATCTGCAGTTCGCCATGTAGATTTTAGTATCCAGTTAAAAATGAAACAAGAAACTTTTCAGCAGTTTTTAAGACTCGGGCATTTTAAGCTTTGGTTTTTAAGGTTGGCTTATATTTTGAAATAATTTGGACTGGTAAAAATAAGCTATAAATACATAATCTTTATAAAGCATCACCTAACTCTCCCAAATATCAGAATTGAACATAACATTAAAATTAGGTTGGAGAGCTGGAGAGACGGCTCAGTGATTAAAAGCACTGGATGCTTTCCCAGAGGACCCCTGTTCAGTTCCCAGCACCACCACACAGCTAACAAAGCTCTGCTCTGATGCCCTCTTCAGGACTCTGAGGGCACTGCATGCATAGTGTGCACACACTTACACTCAGATAAAACGTACACACATATAAGATAAAAATAAACCTTAAAAAATTAGGATTAATGCCGGGCGGTGGTGGCGCACGCCTTTAATCCCAGCACTCGGGAGGCAGAGCCAGGTGGATCTCTGTGAGTTCGAGGCCAGCCTGGGCTACCAAGTGAGTCCCAGGAAAGGCGCAAAGCTACACAGAGAAACCCTGTCTCGAAAAACCAAAAAAAAAAAAAAAATTAGGATTAGTATAGATACAGTAGTTTTGTTTGTTTGTTTTTGTTTGTTTTGAGACTAGATCTTGCTATCTAGTTCAATGCGGGCTTGAACTCAATTACCTTCCTGCCTTAACCTCCCCAGTGTGGGGAATACTGGAATATGCCACTATGCCCAGTTGGATATGCTATGGGTAGAGTTTATTCAACTTTTGCCAATGGTTCCCTTCAGTGTCCTTCTTTTGGTCCAGGACCCAGTCCTGAATCTCTCATTTACCCTTAAGCATTGCGTGACAATGGCCCCCCACCCCAGTCTTTGTGAGCCTCAACCTTGACAGTGGCGTGTATTTCGTGGAGTGACTCTCAGTTTGGGTTACATTTCTTTCTTTCTTTCTTTTTTTTTTTCCCACAATTAGACTGAGGCAAAGCACTTTAGGCAAGAACATCTCAGAAAGGACACACCTTTCTCAGCCCCTTGAATCACGTGACTCCTCAGGATGATGTCAGTTTTGTTCAGTTGGCACAGGGTGTGTCTGCTGGTTTCTCCACTGTAAGGTTTCTGTTTTCTCTCTGTAACTGTTATACATCTGATGGTGAACTATTCCGCAAGGCAAACAAGCCTGTTTTTCTTAGTCCCTTCAGGCTGCGATATCAAAAACACCACACACCGAGGGGCTGAGAATCAACAAACATTTCTCACAATTCTGGAGCCTGGAAAGCCTAAGACAGACAGTGCTGGCAGACTGAGCAGCTGGTGTGGGCCTGTTCCTCACAGATGGGACAAAGGGACGAAGTTTTCGTGGGTCCCCTTTACGAGAGCACTGATTCATCTCGGAGGAGGAACAATATGGCTGAATCATAACTACAAAGGTTTCGTCTTCTTAACCATCACATTGGAGGCTAGGTTTTGCAGAAAGGACCTGTACACAACACCATCTATCATCATATGCTGGCCTACTGCATTTCTTTTTTATTTTTAAAATTTTTTGGGTTTTGTTGTTGTTGTTGTTGTTGTTGTTTTGTTTGTTTTTGTTTTTTCAAAACAGGGTTTCTCTGTGTAACAGCCCTGCCTGTCCTGGAACTCACCCTGTAGACCAGACTGGCCTTGAACTCACAGAGATCCACCTGCCTCTGCCTCCTGAGTGCTGGGATTAAAGGCATGTGCCATCACGCCTTGCACTTAAAATTTTTTCAGTTTTTATTTTATTTTATATGTATGGGTGTTCCACCTGCATGTATGTCTGTGCACATCTATGCCTGTTAGCCAAGGAAGCCAGAAGAAGGCATCAGATCCCCTAGAAATGGAATTACAGATGGCTGTGAACCAACATGTGGGTGGTAGGAATTGAACCAGGCTCCTCTGGAAGGGCAGCCAGTGCTCTTAAATAAAGCCATCTCTCCAGCCCCCTGGCCCATTGCATTTACCAGTCACTGATGATATTTGCCTGCTGGCAATTTCTTCCTTTTTATATTTTGTGTGTGTGTATATGATTGCATGTGTGTGCATGTGATGTGTGGATGTGAGTGTAGGCTCACATGCGCCAAGGCACATGCTTATGGAAGTCAGAGGACAACTTCCAAGAGTCTGTTCTTTTCCTCCATGGTGGGTTCCAGAGATGGAATTTGGGTGGTCAGGTTTGTGAGGTGAGCCCCTGTCCCCACTGAGCCCTCTTGCCAGACCCTGCTGTTAATTTCTTTTCTTTCCTTTTGTTTTGCTTTATTTTTTGAGGCATGGTGTCTCTGTGTAGCCCTGGCTGTTCTGGAACTTGTTCTGTAGACCAGGCTGACCTCAAACTCAGAGATCTGCCTGCCTCTGCCTCCCCAGTGCTGGGATTAAAGGCGTGTGCCACCACACCCAGCCTTGGTAAGTTTTTAATAATTCAGTCTATGACCCTTACATCTTAGCCCAAACACTGAAACTACAAATGAAAAATGTTTTATTTTTCCCTCCCCCTTTTTTTGGGGGGGAAAGGGAGTATAATTTAGAGGATGCTAGTGTAATTTAGAGGATGCTAGTATAATTTAGAGGATGTAAATGATTCTCATTGTGTCAGGTTCTCTCAAACATCTGGGTCGTCTCTGTTTCCCAGCTCACCAGGGTTCCAGTCTTTATCCAGGAATAAATGGCGGCTGAAGTGACTTGCTGACTGGGTGTAGAGTGAATAGTTGATGAGGGAAGTGAGGGAGGGAGGCAATCTAAACAGAAATCAGAGTGTGGACGGGCATGGAGGGTTGAAAATCCCAGTGAAGACTCCCTTCCCGGTGTTCTGTGTGCTGAGGTGTGGTTTACTGTGAGTAGAACGTTAGCTTGAAAGAACACATGCTAGAGTTGGGGTGTGAGCTGGCTGTCTAGGCTTCCTACGTGGGAAGCTTTGCCCTCCACACAGTGCTGTTAAGGGCTGGAGCCTGCTGTTAAGGGAAGAAGGTGCCTGGGCCCCCATGCCTGAGGCATGAGGTGCAGTGGCAGCAGAATCACAGAGTCTCAGCTCAAGAGAGAAGTCCCGGCTACCAGTTTGAGTGGGATGGACAGACAGACGAAACTGCTCTGGGAGAAGAGACGCAGTCTCGGTCAAGGATGCAATGATTCCAACATTAAAGGGAGGATGAAGAAGGAAAAGGAGCCTGAAACAGTGCTCCGAGGTAACGGGGTTCAGGACCCGGGGCGGGGGCGGGGGGGAGTTTCCTCGGAAAGGTGGCAGGAGTAAGGTCTGAAAACCAGCACACTGGATTTGGCATTTGAGGTTTTCCTGGTGACCTTCTTTCAGAACACAGGAATTAAAGTAACATGGGGAAGTTGAACAGGGCAGGCTGCTCTTTGAAAACATCAGGCAGTGAAGGGGAGGAGAGTGATCAGAAATAGCCATGTTTGCGAGCAGAGCCACAGAAGAGGTGCATTGGAATGCAGCCAGGTGCCACTGAATGACAGAAGTACTCTTGGGTCTTCCCAGCTGCGTTGGGGAATGTTTCTGGTAGCTGTCATTCTAATTTCTGTCCAGAAGATGCCAGGTGCTCTTGAGGTCTGGCTGGTGGTCAGCCCTGCAGGGACAGCAACCACACCCCAGGGTTGAAGGGAGGATAATTTCAAACTCCACATCTGGGCCACAGCTGCTCGAAAGAGAGTGCCGTCGCAGGGCAATGCTGCTGGGTTTCTGATTTTCTGAGCTTTCTAGGGCTTCGGCTTTACTCTGCCTTCAGTTTTAGGAACACCAAAGATACAGAAGAAGTCAAACAGCTTCTCATAACTTCTCTAGCACTTATTTTACCGTTAAAAGCGCTCTTCTCCATCTTCTCCATCTGGTGCACACTGTCAATCTTGTCTACTCCTTTACAGCGGATCCTGCTTCCTCAGCCCCTCTCCTCTTCCTCCTACAAATGTTTGCATGTTTGTGCTAAGCAAAGTGCAGCCTGGGGAGACAGTTGTGTGGACCACATTGCCCGGGGCTGTTAACGGGTTGTTAGAGGCGAGACCCCTGTGGAGAGGCCCATGATGGGCACTGAGTCCCTTCCCATCCACTTCCAACTTCTCTGCCTGCCCAAAGGGTACTTTCTGTTTCTGTCCATTTGGGGAAGTCGCTTTTTCTTGGTATTTAGGGAGTCAGGAAAAGAAAAGCCATTGGGTTTTCACATTAGCCTTCAGGTAGGGCTGTGGCTTTTGACCAACAATAACTTTTGACCAACAATAACGTATGACCTTGTGGTCGGTTTTGGACCTACTCCTGGGAAAGTGGGACCCAGTTGAAGGAACAAAAGATTCTGGTACTGTGAAGAGGTGGTGGCACATGGAACCAGAGGCTGGGGAAGCAGTGCTGGGAAGTTTGGATTGGCTGGAAGTTTCTAGGAAGGTTCCTGCAGTCAGAGTGCTCATCTGTGCAGCGGGGGTGCAGGTTTTTTAAGGGTTAAGAGCACCCGAAAAAAATAGAAGTAGGAGGAGGAAGTGGGGCGCTGAGTCGCAATGCAGCTCATCAGAGAAGGAAGCAGCTCATCGGAGCTTCCTCTTTCTCCTCCTTCCCCGAAGCCCCCACCCACCCCTCCTGCGCAGACAAAACGCTCTTCCGCTCCCCCTCACCCCGAACCTCACCTTACTCTTTGGGGGGCTGTGATGCTCGGTGCTGGTACACCAGCCGGGGCCTGTAGTCCCTAGGCAGGTGGGGGTCCCAGCTCTGGACAGCTTCTCAGTGGCTTTAAATCCTAGGACTCAAGGGTCAGTGGTACCGGCCTAACGCGACCCGGCCACCAGAGGGCGGGAGAGCCCGGCCGGGCGGCTAGCCCTGCCCAGACCACGCCCCTGCCAAGCCCCGCCCCGAAGGCCCCGCCCCCCGGGGTTGTAGAGACTGAGCAGATGCTGGGACTTGCTACCCAGCTCCAGCCGCCTCACGGTGGTCTGGACCTCACCCCAACAGCAGGGAGTCTTCGCTGGAAAGGGGCTCGGCGCCCGGCGGGGACTGCAGGTGTGTGGCTGGGCTGATTGGGGCGGGGGAAAGTGCTGAGGGCACGGGTGAGAGCTCGAGGCACAGCCAGAGCCGGTTGGAACCATCCTGGAGCAATGTGCCCCAACTGCAGCTGGTAAGTAAGCTGGACAGTTGGCGGTCTTCCAGTTCCGCAGTTGAAGTCCACCTCGGGGACACGAGGCTAAAAACCCATGGGTTGTCCCAGAGGCAGAAGGGGCGTCCCGGGACTGCTTATCAAGATTGAAGTAGTTATGAGGCCAAGTGTGTGCGCAGCCTCCTGCTGGGCCACAGGCCACCCTGTGCTCTAGAGTAAAGGAACCTGCAGTCCTCTGGCTCTGAACTCTGTGGGGTGCGTGGGCAACAGGAGTCCTTTGGCATCAGGACCTGGGCGTTGTCCTCCGTCGAGCTTCAGGCTGCCCCATGTCAGTGAGCATGGACCCTCAGACACGGCTGCTTTTCTAGGCACTGTCAGAACGTTTACACGCCGGAGACACGCGTGTATGAGTTTATGAATGTATGTGAGCCTACACGTGTGTGTGTGTGCTCGAGCGCTGGCATGATGGCCCATCCGAGGGTGGTGGCGGTAAATATGCAAGAAGTTCAGGACAGTAGGAGGAAGGAGGCTGTTCAGAGGGAAAAGGAAGGCGAGATGAAAGCCGCAGGATGTGGTATGATGTGAGTTAAGCCTCCTGCGAGAGGAGGGGTGGCTTTTGGCAACCGGAGAGCTAAAAGCAGGCCAACTCACCTGAAGACCTTTTCTGAATGGCTGTCCTTCGCTTTGGACTTGCCGTTCTTTGCCTGTTGTGAACCACCCGGTAAGGTCGGGTTTCCAGAATAGTGTTGTGTGTCCTGCAATGCCTGCCCAAAGAGAGCCACAGCGGTACAGTACAGCTGTCCAAGGTGAACCAAATTTTAAATAAGGTCCTTCAGCCAGGGGTGGAGCTGTTGCTTGGGAACCATGTGTAAGATGGAATAGAGACCCGAGTTCCAGCCAGACCCTGGCATATGACTTCCCTCTACTTACCTCAGTCTCCTTGTTTGTAAAATGGGCTATTATATAAAATTATATATACTTCTGATCTACAGGGCCATGTGGGAAATGAAAGGAGACAGGTGAGCAATGAGGGCTACACAGGAGACCCTCACTTATGTTTGTTCCAAGCTCTTACAAGCCCCTAGAACACCTTTTATTTAAAGAGGCTCAGCCCGACCAAGGGGCTGACCTATGAGCTATGTATATGTGTATGCATAGCCTGGTGTAAATTCTCACCTTTGGCATAGATAAATGGGACAGCAATGCATATGCCGTGAAAGGACATGTCCTCAGTTTGGAGATGGGCATATGTTCACATTTTATTACATCTATAGATCCGTTATTATTAAAACGCTCATTATTTGTGGGTATGGGTGTGAGTGTACGTGTGCATGCTTGCCATGGTACATGTGGAGGTCAGAGGGCAACCTGAGAGAGTTGGTTCTTTCCTACTCTGTGAGTTCCAGGCAACAAACTCAGGTTGTCAAGTTTGGAGGGAAGCCATCTCCCCTGTTCAGTTTATTTGTTCTTTGAGACAGTCTCAGGCTGTCCCCCATGCTGACCTCCAACTCAGTATGTAGCCGAGACTGGCCTTGAACTCGTAAGTGCTGTGGTTACAGGCAGTTCCGCTATGCCCCACTTCACGTTCATATTTCAGCAACGCTGAAGCTAACCTATTCCAGTTATAATAAGACCCAATATTCTTCCTTGTCAACACACAAAACGATGGTGCGTCTTTACAATCAGTGACATCTTGCAGTCTGTTAAATACAGGGTATGTTTTACAGAAATGTTTTAGAGGTACATGGGTACACACATATGTCATTCTCCTATTCTGCATACATTTAAAAACTTACATCTCATAAGCACCAAACTCTTTGTGGTGTCTAGTTTTTTTCTTTTTCTTTCTTTTTTTCTTTTCTTTGTTTTATTTTTAAGACAGTCTTCCTGTGTAGCCCCTTAGCTGACCTGAAACTCATTGTGTAAACCAGGATGGCCTTGAACTTACAGAGATCTGCCTACCTCTTGCTCCCAAGTGCTTTTTGAATTGCTTTTCATCTGGGATTAAAGGCATGCACCACCACAGCTGGCCCTGTAGTACCTCGTTTTAAAGACAGTGTTGGCTGCTTTGTTAAGTAGAGCACAAAGTAACTTCTTGAGAATGTGATCCACTAGTTCTAATCCACTCTTCTCCTTTGCACCCCGGGCCGCTTCTGATCTTTTTCCCACCACTTCCCTTTCATCCTTCTACGTGACTCTCCCCCCACCCCTCGGCTACAGTTGTGTGGTGTATTGGACACTGTGCTAAGCTCTGCGTGCCCTTTCACCTCGATACCCACACTGAGATAGCTGGAGCTATCACCCCCACTTTACAGATAAGGAAACGGGGTGCTGAAGCCACTCAATTAGAAAATGCCAGACCTAGGATGACTCTGGCAGCCGCTCTTGACCAGAGAGGAGCAAGTTCCAGTGGTGGCCTGTGGTTATCGAGTACGTGTCTTGCCTTGCACTTCTGAGGTAGACTCCTTCCCCCCCCCTCCCCGCCCCGACACCCACCCCAAGGCTGGCAGCAACCTTTTGGATAATTGGAATTATATGTTAGGTGACTTCTGGGTGTTCAAGGCATAGATCTCACAAGGGGATGAGAAATGAGAAAGTAGATGACTTCAGTAGCTCAGAGCATGAGTCTCCTAACTATCCTTTGGGGCCCAGATTCTAGCCAGTAGAGCTTGGCCTCAGGAGGCTTCCTGCATCGTGTTGCTATGGTGATGGGAGATCCTACATCTGAATGAGTTGCTTTTCAGCGGAAAGCCTGCAGAGGGGTACCAAGTTCTCCTGCCCCCAGCCCAGGTCCACCGTGCTGCTTCCTCTTGTGATGCTCAGTCAGCTTTGAAGATTCTGTTTGGTCGCCCCAGATTGCTCTCCCCTTTCTCTGCCCACCTGGTGAACCGAAAATTCCTCCCTCAGTGGACACTTCAAGCTCCATCTTCCAGAGTCTCCCCCAACCTCTACTCTCACCCTACAACACTAAGCTACTGCCCTCGATGGCCTTCCAGTATGGCACTGACTGCCTTGGCCCACAGGGACTTCCCAGGGGCTAACATAGCTATGACCTGTGGATGGTCAGTGTGGCTTCAAGCTGTCACCACTTCAAGCTGAGTCTCCCTGGGGTCTCACGCAAGGAGCCCTCCATGCACAGCCCCAGTAGAAGCTGCTTAGATGCAGGATAGTGTCGGGGTCAGCAGGGTGGGGTCCCTGGAGACTGTTGTGCTTTTTCATTTTCGTGTCCTCTGGAGTCTTGTTATTGTGTTGACCTAGGCAAATGAGCTTGTGTGGTTTCTTCATGGTGGGGTGGGGACAGGGCTGGGATGTGAGGAATGAAGGTGGATTCCAGTCTAGGGGTCCTGTTTCTACCTCACTCCTCCACAGTAGCCTCAAAGCCTTGATTACAATCAGATGACCTCTCTGAGTGTCATTTCCCCTGTCTAGATGGCAGCCGCATGGCATTTGATCCTGCCTAACCTTCCATAGTCAGGACTTTGCTGTGGAACATGTTCAGTGTACAGCCATGGACCAGGCTCAGAAGACACAGGAAGGCAGGCATTGCTCCTGCTTCCAAGGAGATGTGGTCTAGTAGTTCAGGATACCCAACACAGAGATCATCTCATTCTAAGTGTGAGAATTACATGATGCTGTGGGATTACAGAAGGGGAGTGTGGGGTTTAGAATTGTGTCATACTTGAGACCTGAGAGAGATGCAATAAAAGAGAAGAACACTCATAATAATAAGATGGACATTTGCCAGATACCTGCTTATGGCTCTGTGGATATCTTCCCTCATGAATTTGTCCCTCAACAGCTCAGGCTGTATGTGTAATCACGAGGGGTTTCCTCCTTCTAAAATTAGATGCCACAACTGAATGTCGTGATTGGTTCCACGTCTGACATGGACCAAGGATTCTTTCCATGCTCCTCCCTTTCCCATATTCCAAGGGGCAGTTTGTGAACATCGAGGTCTTGAATACTGTTGTGGTGGGAGAAGGCTGCCTCTTCTTTTTCTCTGTTCGTCGCTGGAGAGCATGTCCCACTGCGGACCCCTTGTAGTCAGTAATACTTTCATTAGTAGCTCAGGGAGTCTCTCTCCCATGGGAAATTCTACCCATTGTAGCCATGCCTTTATCCAATCCCTCTTGGGAACTGTGTTCTTGCCAAGTTCAGAACCCCCAGCTCTTGATTCTCTGTATCATGTAATAAGGCTCTTGGCCAGCTCCCACTTCTCCATCTAGCGCTGTCTTCCTAGAACCCTGACATCCATACGGCTGGGCATCTGGTTGAGTGTTTGTTCCTGTGTGGCTCCGTGGTGTAGGCTCTTGTCAGGCAAATCTTCACACAACCACTTCCACCCAACATGGTCGACGTGGCCAGCCTCCACTTGGGGTTTTCTGCATTTCTTAGATCACGTCGTCTCCACCTACAGTTCTTCCAGAAGAGTTTCAAACACTCTCTCGGGCAGTGCCTGTCAACCTTCCTAATGCTGCGACCCTTTAATGCGGTTGTTCATGTTGTGGTGAACCGCCCCCCCCCACGCACCATAAAATTATTTTCATTGCTACTTTATAACTGTAATTTTGCTACTGTTATGAATCATAATGTAAATATCTGTGTTTTCCAATGGTCTTAGATGACTCCTGTGAGAGGGTCATTCAAAACCCCCCTACAGGGTCAAGACTCACAGATTGAGAACCACTAGTCTAGGTAGTG